AATGCCTACACCAGTGATTCTCAACTTGGGTGCTACGGCACACTGAAGTTTCTTGCCATGGGGTACCATGCGTTATTAGGTATGCCAACATGATTCACAACATAAATCTAGAGATTTCAGAAGGGAATCCATAATATCAAAAAATCGTATAACATTTTATGGTCTTTCTGAATTCTTTGCAATAGAAGAATTGTGGAAGAATATTTTTTTACAGTCAAAAAATTAGTGAAAAGTAAGAGCTGGCATTTTCAGGGAGGTGCCTTGAGTCTCTCAAAGAGTGCCTCAAGTCTAAAACTGTTGAGAACCACTGCCCTACACTATACTACAGTCACTGTTGAGACATACCCTTAGAGCTGAGGTCATTTAGCAGGTAGATGACTTTACAGGTGAGACCACCTCACTCTTTCTCCTAGCAGGCTCATATGGCTGTTGCATAGGAGAGCTGGTGGAAAAACTTCAGTGTCATGGGATCACAATGCCAATTCACATATAACAGGTTCCCATATACTTGCAAAACCAGAGTAAGAAAAATGCATGTAGTTCACTGCTGCCAAAGAACTGCTAATACAGAAGTATAGAAGAATCCTATTCACATGTGGGTTTATCTGTGAGTTAAAGAATGTCACAGGACAAGAAGCACTCATCTGTGAATTTTAAGAGGTAACAATTCCATATTTTTTTTAAAAAACAGCCCCAAGCACTTCTGCTTGCTGTTGTTTAGTGAATGCCATGGTGAATAAAAAAGCATAGCTGTAGCATCAGATTTAACAAATCTTTTACACCACAATTTCTAGCATTCTTTGGTTCAATTCTCATATGTCATGAGTCATTTCAATGCAAGATGGTACATAGAGAGGGGCCATAAAGGAGTTCTCCTGTTGACTATTAGGGACAAGGAAAGGTCATAATGGTCCATCAGTGTATTTACAAATGTACCCACTGCACGGTGTTCTTCTACAGAGAGCTCTGAAACCCTTTTGGGGCGATGCATCTCCATAGGAAGATGTGCAAAGTAGGTCTTCCTTCCTGATATCAGAGCAGGCTCTGACTTCTGTTACATTTTCAAGTCAATACTTAAGCTTATAGTTAAAGAAACACAAAATCTTTATCCCGGGCACACTCCTACATGCTGGCCTCTCTAGCCATATCACTGAACTAAAATCACAGGGCTTTAAGAAGATTTGGTAGGCATCTAGTCCAAATCTCTGCATCCCAGACCAATGTCTACCTAGTATCTTGAAAAACTTCAATCAAGGAGATTCTACAACTTCCCGAAACAGCTTTACCACAACTGTTCTTATAGTTACAGTAAAACCACCCACTTTCTAAATTCTTCCCCCAAACCTGTGGAGGAGTCCAAATCTCCCTGTGCTTCTGGTCCTCTTTCCTCTTCCAGGTTCCCATGACAGGTGATCCACAGAAGCTTAATAGGTTAGTGGCGGCACGTGGGATGGTAGCAGCTGCTGGGCTGCTTATGGTGGCAGTGTAGCTCACTGGCAAGTACAGTGGCTGCTATTTTTGTGCCCAAAGTGAGCACCCCAGGATGCTGTCCTGGTCACTGCTCCCACTTAGTTATGTAACTGCTGGTTTCTTTAGTAGGAGGCCAAATTAAGGGCTCCATGATTCCTTGTTCAGGTTTCAGCCACCTCCTTCTCTATTGCAGGGTTCTGGAGATGGAAGAACGGGTTTCCTCTGTTCCAGTATAGAAGTTTGTAGAATAAAGAGGAGTCCTCCATTTGCTCCCCCAGCTCTGTTCAGGAGGAGCAAGAGTGATTAAGATGTCCTGCTACGGCTTCAGATGTATGAATTCAGGCTTCACTCCCAACTTGGGCTAAAGCCCCCCTTCCCTCTCTCCCTAGTCATGGGAAAATGGACACAGTCATTTGGGCTGGGGAGTCAAAGACATCCAAGTGCCACACCACCACCTTGCGTGCCTTTGGCTACAGAAACCAGTATGTGCCTTAACCGTTGTAGCACAGGGGACTGTTAGGTCTGAGTGGACCTTTGACCTTTTGACCTCCATACAGGGCTTCAGAAAAGGAGGGGAGGGATCCTGAGCAAGAGAACTGACTTTGGTCCAAAGCAGAGCTGGCAAATTATTGCACCGCCGCCACCCCCCCCAAAATATTTAAAAGGTCAAATGTATGGAATAATGGTAAACACAAAAACCTGATATTTTCAAGTTAAAGTAAAAAAAATATTTTAGCTATAAAAAACCTGAATAATATTTAAGGTTGGCCTTTTTTTGATTTTTCAGTTTAACTGAAAAACCTAAATAATTTCCATGAAATATAAACTTTTCAATGGAAATTTCTTTCTTGTAGAAAAAGGCAATTTGGATTAAAAAAAATACAATAAAAATTGGAGATGTCAAATTTTCTGCTGGTTCTACTCAAAACAGGATCCGCAGCAAGTAAACCCCTCTCGTGTTGTGGGGGGAAAGCATTTTGGCAAGGATGCCTGAAAGTAGAGACTGAGCATAAAATTATATTAGCATCTAAGATCAGAGATGTAATTACCAGGGTCTGTACCCTGGGCAGCAGCAACGATGGCAGGGGTCTGAGCTGGCTACAGCAGTGGCAGCAGCTGGGCAAAGAGTGATGGTAGTGCCATTCTTGTGCCCCTTCCGAGTGAGTGCCTGGGGCCGGTGCCCTGGT